TTCCTTTCCATGCTCTGCTCTTTCCTTTTGTAGACTACAACAGTAGATTACATCTGCAGACCATAAAAGGGCTCTCACTAGAACCAAACTCTGCTGGCACCCTGATTACAGACTACCAACCTCCAGAATTATGAGAATAAATTTAGTTGTTTTTAAGCCATACAATTTATGGTATTTTGTTATAGCAGCCTGAACTAAGACACTTGCTGACATAAAATATGTCATCCTAGTTTAGCAGCTACTAATCAGCATTGGGAAATGAATGAGTTTGGAACCAGTGTGCACATGCCAGCTCATTTAGCAGGACTGGAGTATTTCCAAAATTAGTGTTTTGTTTTTGCTTGTTGTTTGTTTTAATCTCAACCATTTGTATCTGTTTTGGCATGTAGAGAGATAGCTGATAATCATATTAGACTTCAATAAAACTTAGGCAGTTTCTGATTTATAAATGATTTATAACTTCATAGGTACCAGTAGACTCTCCTAGCTCACCCTTTCTGGGAGGCTGACCCCCACCTTCCTCCTTAGGGATGCTGGATCCTTACTTTAAAGAATCTACCTGCTGCTAGACCCCTCTTCTCTGCCCAGAAATGCTATAGCTCTTGTGATCTCTGTGAGTCACAGCACATACTTACATGCTTGTTGAACTAAGTGGCATTAGGGGATTTTATTCTTCCTTTCTGAGTAACATGTGTTACAGAAGGATGTTTAATATTGTGAAAACATTACCTCTAAAAGATAACCTGGAAATCGCCTAGTGAGATACATAAATAACTAGTTACCTTTTAAGTCTTCTTTGTTAGAAGATCCCTCCTGAAGGTTCCTAATATCAGATTGTATAATTGGCTTAGCCTGGTAAGAGATGCACAGCGGTTCAGTGGTTGCCATAGAAGCACAGGGCCCACAGAACTAGTGGTCTGTGCAGGCTACTATCAGGGTGTTCAGGGGCTTGGTCCTGGCTGGGTGCCAGGGCCCTGTGGCAAGCAGAAAGGCTGCTCCACTGTACCAAGTGCTAGACACCTGCTAACAATTAGACCACACCTGCGCTCTGCTGTTTGGTCTCTCCTTTCCTCCTGTGAACTACTCCTTGAAAAATCACTGAAAATCTGAAATGTTTAAGATTCTGACCCAGATCTCTCTGTATCTTTATACCTTCTGAAAACTATGTATGAATTGTAGGAGAGCAAGTTTCAGCTATTCTTCCATTCAAACAAATATCTCATTTGTAGACAAATATCTCATTGTGAAGCAGGTGAGCTGCTTCACAAAAACAAAAACAACCAGGAGGATTATGGTAGCATCCTCCACAAATCGTGCTTTAACATGTAGGCACTAACAAGTGTTTGCTAAATAAATGCAAAATGCAAAAAAAGCAACAACAAAAAAAGCAAAGCGAAAAGGAATGATGACTGAGTACATTTTGTTTTCATTCCCCATCTTATCAGCTTTTTCAAGGCATCATTTTAATTTCAACAAACTTGGATCCTTATTATATTTCCCAAACTGTATTTGAACGTTGCTCAAATGTCAGGCCCTGGCTGTTTTACACACACACACACACACACACACACACACACACACACACACACACACACGCATGGACTGACTGGCTGTGTCCAAACACGGAAACACATACTTAGTTGATGTGATTAGATGTGGGAATTGGATGTTTGTTGAAGAAATTATGTGAGCCCTTAATCTGGAAATTATGTGTGCCCTTAATCTTACCCAAAAAAAGTCTTGAGATTATTTCTTAATACACATGACAATGTACTGCATTAATTTTCTTACTATATTGCTATAGGGATTATTATAAATCTAGCCAGCAATTATTGAGCATCTGACAGATCTGTGCTGGACCCTACCTGTCCCTGTCTTCAGGTGGCTTACCATATGACATGATCGACTGCATAAATATGAAACATCAATACTAAAACTAAACTAGTTCAATATCAGGTGTTTGGGTCTCCAGGAGCTCTCAAAGTAAAAGAGACTTAAATGAGGTGTAAAGGCAGAAGAAGGGACAGTTTGCCAAGATTTGGACTTGCACTTGGGCTTAATGGATGAAGAAGAGAAGATAGGAGAAAGGGAAAGGTCTTTCTATTTAGTGGGGAGCAGTATAAGAAAATGCTAGTGGTCTGCATTCAGGTTGTGTTTGAATGGGATTAGTGCCCACACTGTATTCAGTGTGAAGCCTGGCACAGCTGTAGAGGTTCTTCATTGGAAAGGGTGGCTATAAGGTAGTGAAGCTTGTCTGGTACCAGGCCCAGGGGTGCTACACTGCTGCAGAGCGAAGTGATCTGGGAAGTGCTTGACCAGGACAGTTCTTGAGCTGCTCTGCTGGGTTCCACTTCTGCCTCCATGCATTATGAGCTGTCATCCTGTTTGTAACACATGCCCTTTGTGCCATGGTTTCCTCATTTATCAATGAGGACAGTGGTTGTATTTATCTCTTAAGTTTGCTAAAAGGAATAAAACAAATAATAATCACATAAAGTGCTCATCACAGTGCCGGGTACTTGCTGGAGCTCATTACATTATTAGTTATTAGGCAAGAGAGAGCAGTAGTGGTAGCTGCGCTTTAGAAAGCTACTTGGATAGGCAGAACAAGTTGATTGAAGCTTGAGACTTTGTGGATGCCTTTTACCTGAATGGAACTGAAGACAATTTTATAGGTGTTCCCACAATTTCCATCTTTTCCAGGAAGGCTCCGGAAAGTATAAGGATCACACATTGAGCACAACCATCCTGTTTATACCAGATCTCCATTTCACAGATTTTAGGAATGATCATGCTTGACAGTCATTCAGAAATAATTTGGTCAGAGTAACTAGCAGTGTCACTTATAGCTATAGTTAGAGGAAGTGTATTATTGAACCAGAAGTAACTGGAAATTTGTTTGCTTTTTTTTTAATCTTGGTTAATATTTTATATTGTGTACCTGGAGGCTGGTATACTGAGGGATGAGATAGAGAATTGAATCTGAATACATCAAAATGGAAAATAACTATGAGTATCCCTACAGAATTGTAGTGCCTGACTTTGATAACTCACACGTGCCAATTTCTGTGTGCTGTACTTACAGTTTGGGTAGAAAAGAAAATGGAGGGTGGCTCTCTATAAAAAACAAAATTCTAGGGCCTCCCTGGTGGTGCAGGCGGTTGAGCGCCACACTGTGAAGCTGTCTGCAGCCTCTGCCACGCAGGTTCAATCCCAGCCGACTTGGGAGAAACCCACAGGCACAGCAGACTTCTCCTGTCTTGCCCACTGCTCCCCTCAGCAGTGTATTTCATCAGTCTGCCTGTTCTGTTCCCCACTTTGTCTCTGGTGAATCCTCTCACCCTCCCACACATCTGGCCTGTACCCTGGTTCTTGTATAAATAATCTTTAAAAAAAAATTCTATTTGATCCTTCAGTGATAAACCATTTTTTAATTAAGATATATACATTTTTTTGACATAATGTTATTACACACTTTAATAGACTACTACATAGTGTAAACATAACTTCTGTATGTGCTGGAAAGCCAAAGAATTTGTATGACTTGCTTTATTACAATATTTGCTTGATTGCAATGGTCTGGAACCAAACCTGCAGTATTTCCAAAGAATACCTGTACGGAAGTGTGACGTATTCACATTGTTGTTGAGGGTGGATATTATAAATGTCAACTTTTAGAAGTTCAATTCTATTTATCCAGCTTTATTAATAATAGTTTATTGTTGGATTACATTCTATGACAAAGATTTCCTACAAATATTTTTGCCTGTGCTTGTAAATTCAGGTTTTAATTACAGAAATTCTTTCCTTTTCCAGTAGAAATGAACACTCCACTTAAAACTTCAGACTTCACTAGTGAAAAGGATTATAGAATAAATTGTTCAGGAAATACTGCAAAGGAATGGTAATCTACCTATTTATAATCATCAAGTTTCAATTAACTTCCTTGTCAGTATTTGTGATGAGCATCAGCCTTCTAAAATATTTAGGAAGTGAAGTATCATTGTAAGTTGTTCAAATCAAGAACAATTATTGACAAAACTTAGCATTTTTAAAGCATGTGAATACATGTAATCATTCACTTCTGTGGTTTTTTTCTTACAGTTTTCTTAGTTTTGTAAACTAAAATGCCCGTATTTAAATGACCTAATATCAAAGCCCCCTCTTTTGTAATTTGACAATATAGGTACTGAACAGACCTCAGTCTTGATGACTTGTGTGAAAAATACTTTGAAACTCTTTTACCCTGCTCACAGATTCTTCCTGATCAGCAATAGAACCATTATCCAAAAAGCTAGAAAGGTAGAATATCATCCATACCTGACAGCTACATAGATTTTTCTGTTTAGTATCTTAGAAATAGATGCATCCCTCCTTTCCCATAGGCCATCAGGCCAGATCTGGTTCCCACAGCGGCAGTATCCTTTTCAAATGTGCCCTCTCTCTTTGTAACTGCTGTCCTTCAGAAGAGATGGACTGGTGAATTGTCACCACCCAGTCCTTCAAGGCCTCTTCTCAGATCAGAATCCAGGCTGCTGAAGTTGGCCACAGTGCAGCTGGTTGGCATATACACACACTCCACTTCTCTGAGTCAGGTCCTTGCAGTACCACCTGTATATGTAAGCAGGTAGCTTACTGGGCCTCCCCTGGTGGCGCAGCGGTTGAGCACTGGGCTGCAAGGCTGCCGGCAGCCTCTGCAGCACCTGTTCGTTCCCCAGCCACCAGCGAGGGTCCCACAAAAAAAAAAAAAAAAAAAAAAAGGCAGGTAGCTTACCAATCAAAGCCCTGTGCTTTCTCTGAGATCAGCACTCTAGACTCCCAAGTAGAATGGGAACATTCATTTCATTTTCTGTCTCTCGCTCTCCCCTCTCTCCATCTCTCCACCTCTTCTACCACTACCATTGTTTGGTGTCTTGACTCACAGGTGAGAGACTAACCCTGCTTTTTGGCAAACAGAATAGAATGTTTTTGTTTAGTATTCCTTTTCTCTTTGTTGGCAGACTTTCTCCACCTTCACTAAGAAGAATAAAAGATAGTCCCTAACTCTGAGCTGTTTGATGATGATGATGATGATGATGATGATACCACCATCTTTTGGTAGTTAAGCTGCAATATTCTTCTGCTCATCGCCTGGAAAAAGAAATCATAAAGTAAAAATGTTACACTAAGAGTGTTCTGGTTTGAACATGTCATCAAGAGCTTATTGGGATTGTAGAAGTTACCAACCCTGTAAGTACAGGAAAGTTTTTCATTGTGATTGTATACATATACATGTTCATAAAGCTGTTCTTTATGCCAGGGATTGGCAAACTGTAGCCCAAGGGCCTAATCTGGTTTGCCCTCTATTTCTTAAAGTTTTATGGGAATACATCTATATCCATTTGTTTACATATTGTTTGGGCCAGCTTTACCCTATATGGTCAGTGTTCAGTGATTGGGAGAGAAACCAGAAGGCCCACAAAGACTAAAATGCTTACCATCAAGCCTGTTACAGTTAAAATTTGCTTACCCCTGCTCTAGGAAGGCTTCCAAATTGTGCCACCATATAACTGAGGATCTGCAAGGACCATTAGAGAGTATGTCCTCCAAGTCTGAAGTGATTTCATAAATCAAAGCTCAATGAAGTAATTTTCCAAGTATCTTTATTATTTGATGATTTCTTTTAAGGAGGAAATTCTTTTCCCAAAAGCTTTTCTTATTGTGGAACACAAATTTTGCCGTCTTAACCATTTTTAAGTATATAGTTCAGTGGCATTAAATACATTAATATTTTTATACAATCATTACCATCATCCAACTCTAGAATTTTTTCATTTTCCCAAACTGAAAATCTCTACCCATTAAACAATAACTGCCCCCTCATCCCCTGATCCCTGGCAACCACTTTTATACTTTATGTCTCTATGAATTTGACTACTCCAGGTACCTCATATAAATGGAATCATGCGATAGTTATCTATAACTTTATTCAATTGAAGAAAATATGCTTTACAGTAACAGAAAAAAATCTAACCTTTTCCCTGACTTACTGACCACTTGACTTCGCCCAGGGTAGGCTGATAATTTTTCTTAATGTCCTCAGCTCAATATGGCACATTTTAGTGTCTTTCTCTGAAGAATATAACAGTGTCATGATATTAGTCAAGTAAAGTAAAAAAGGGAAAATTTAAAATAATACAGTGGAGTGGAGCCACAAAATATTAATTTTACAGTTCAGGCATTTGTTTCTAGTATTTAGAAACAGGAGAACACAAATTAATACTCACAAAGTAAATTAGTAGGCCCTGGAGTCAGAGCCAAAGACGAAGGGTGATAATTCAGATCAAGTGAATCACTGCTGGAAAGGCTCAGAGCACACTACTCCTGTGACTGGCACAGTTTGCCATGTCCAGTGTCTCCCTGTCTTAGTGGATATCACCTCTACACTGCCTGTGTCTTGCCCTTTATACTTCCTTTCTTGCTCCTTGCTCATCATTCTTTTTTTATTTACATAAACTTATTCCAGACAGGATAGAATAAATTGGTTGTATTTTAGTATACTAAATAGGTTGCATTTCAAACCTACCTCCCTACTATTATACCTAGGTCATCTAATTAGGGTTTTGAATATGTATAAAACTCCTTTGGCTTCTATATATACTCTATTTCTTGATTTCATCCTGCGATGAGTAATCCAAGCCATGATTTTTATATTTTACTTATTTACAATTTAGAGAGTAACCTGATTTAGAAATTCTTGTAGGGGAAAGGATACCTGGCAGGAAAGTTAGGTGACTATTGCCTCCATGTACATTCTAAAATCAAATAAATTGTCCCAAGGCATTTGTTCTAAATGTTTGTCTTTAGGCCTTAAGTTATGTTCTATGTTTCATTATTATTTTGTCCAAATAGCAGTCTGGATATAGATATAACATTCTTAAGATTAATTCAGCAATCATTTGTTTGCTAACTATGTACTAAATGCATTAATTGTATTACTTCCTATAACCCTCTTCAAATCTCCTATATGTACTTTCATTATATCTATTCAAGTGATGAGAAAACGGAGGAACTAAATAGTTCTTTTTCCTAGGATACACAGTAAGAGGTTGTGTCAGAATTGAACTTGGGCAGTTTTGATTGCAGTCATTTTCATTTATTTTATTATTTCTGTATTACATACTGTCCTTTTTTAAAATTAATGGGTCAGTCATTGACAAGTCTCTATAACTTTGAGGTTACATTTTCACTCCCCCATATGTGCACATGCTTCACCAGACCTCCTGTGCCAATACCCTACCCCCTTTTTTCCTCTTTGCTTTCCTCCCCTCTGTTCTCTGGTAACCAGTATATTCTTCACACAGTTTGTGCCATGCTTTTCTAGTATATGTTTTTTTTGCTATTTATATTCCATTATAAGTGAAACTATCCTATGTCTGTCTTATATTTTCTGACATATTTCACTTACATAATCACTTCAAGGTCCATACATTGTGTCCCAAATGGCACTATTTCATCCTTTTTAATAACTAGTAGTATCCCATTGGTATATATTCCACAATTTCTTTATCTAGTCATCTGCTATTGGGCACTTAAGTTGATTCCATGACTTAGCTATTGTGGACAGTGCTGCTCTGAACATACAGGAGTACATAAGTCTTTTCATAATAGTGTTTTCATGTTATTTTGGTAAATATCTAGCAGAGGTATTGCTGGATCATATAGGGTTTTCATTTTCATTTTTTTTAAGGTATATCTATACCATTTGCTATAGAGGCGGCACTAGCTTGCATTCCCACCTACAGAGGATGAGTGTTCCTTTTTCTCCTCATCCTCCTCATCCTCACATATGTTGTTCCCATTCTTTTTTATATTAGCCAATGTCACAGGGGAGACATGATATCTCATTGTGATTTTCATTTGCATTATGAATTAATTTTTTGTATGGGGTTAAGTGTGGATCTAGTTTCACTTTTTTTTTAAAGATTTATTTATTTTTATACAAGAACTGTGATACAGGCCAAAGGCATGGGAGGGTGAGAGGAGTCACCAGAGATAGAGTGGGGAGCAGAACAGTCAGGCGGACTGAAGTACACTGCTGAGGAGCAGTGGGCACGACAGGAGAGGTCTGCCACACCATGTGGGTATCTCCCTGGCCGGCAGGGAATCGAACCCATGCTGCAGAGGCTGTGGACAGCTTCACCACGCTGCACTCAACCTGCTGTGCCACTGGGGAGACCCTAGTTTCACTTTTTTTGTTTGACCCAACCCATATTTCCCAACACCATTTATTTAAAAGGCTTCCTTTTCTCCATTGTACGATCATTAGGAACAAGTGATCACAGCTCCTAAAACTACTATAGGATTTATTACCCTGAAGGAAGGTCAAAAATTAAGCATGTCTATCTTATATTATCAATAATGCCCTATCCCCACCTTAATTTAGATTTTTTTTTTTAGTTTCTCTGCAAACATGAGCAAAATTTTAATCAGTTCTTAGTCTTTTGAATAGTTGAAGATAGTATAAACACAATAATTTTCCTTTTTAAAAAGAAGTTCTTTATTTGTTTTTGCTTTGGGTCAAAGATGGAATTGTAAAGTATGAGAGAAGATGGTCTTCTATGTTTTTTCATCTCCTCTTTCAGATATCCTTTCCTTCCTTCTGCTAGCTTACCACCCTCCCAGCTAACAAAGAGTTATTACAGTTAATACCCTGCTAAAGCATTAACTCACAACTAAAGTCTTATGTCCTGCCTTGGCCTTTCTCCCTTCCTAGGGACTAAGAAGTCTACTAGTCCTGGTGAGCTGGGAACAGATAGCTCAAGTGATGGCTCATAAGGGCTTAATTAAGACCCAGCCTGGATAATTTGCATTTTAATGAAAAACATTTCTGCTACCCACTCATTTGAAGGAAGCAAATAGAAATTTCACACACCACATATACAATGTTGATCTAACCCAAATTGTTCAGCATTTCTGGAAAAATAGTTTTCTTTGTATGTCTTTGAATTGCTTTGTGAAATATTTAGATTTCCCCATCTTGTTTTTAAAAGTTAGGTATGGTGAATATTGCTGAGTTGAGAGAAAGAAGTACTTTCTGACCATTGCATATCTGTACATTATGTCCCAGATCCATTTTCCACATCTTGGGTGTCTCTTTCATTCTACAAACATTCTTTGTATATATCTTGGTATCAGTATATTTGCAGGTTAAAAAAATAAATAAATAAGTAAAAAGTGGACACAGAAAAAAAAAGATTACTAAGTACTATTCAACTGCTGATGGTCTACAAAATTACTACTTATACTTTATATTTTTACAGTCCTCCACAGTTTACATTTTAAAAATGTATTTCTCACTTATTTATTCTTGCATATGTTCACTATAACAACACCCAAGTATATAAAGAGAATCTTCCTTGTAGATCAATGATTAAGATAATTTTAATCTGTTTTCATAGAAAATTAATTTGAAAGAATTGACTTTGCCCTATCTAAAATCTACATTCTTTTGATTTCTGAGTCCACTGTCCTTTTCTCTAAATCACAGTTCCCAGTAAGATCAGAACTTCTTAAATTTATGTTCCCAGTCTCCTCTGATATCTGAATGTTTATGTCACTAAGTTTCAGTATTTCATTTGTCCCAGTTGAATTTCCTATCTTTTTTTGAAGGATTTTTTCTGTAATTATTCGTAACTTAGAATCATCTACATTAAGATTTGCTGGAGTAGTCTGAGTTTTTACATTTAAGTAATTTTTTCATTTATGATGTTTAAGGGATCTAATCTGATCTCTCAAAATAACAGTTGTGGTTCTGTAATGAGGTCTTTAAAATATCATGGTCCTGATGCCTGGAGTAAGTTCGTTTTTTGTTGTTTTTTTTTTTTTGTGTGTGTGGGGGGGGTTTTTTTTTTTTTTTTTTTTTTTTTTGTATAGCCTGTACCTATTTTAGTTATTTTCTTCTTCCAGTACAGCTGGAATTTTATCCATCCAACTGTTGACATAACAATAAATAAAATACTGCTAGTTTTTTTTCCTCCCTCTCAAATTTGTTATTCTCTTTAGCATAATGTATTTAAAGGACTTCAGATATTTATTTAGCTGCTTGCACAGGCTTTTGCAGGCTAATCTTGTCCCTATATCAATGCTTTTTTCTGTACTCACTTTTAGTGTATATTGACTTAAGTTCTCTTTCTTTCTGACTTTTCCATTTCACATTGAGAGCATCTGGTATTTTTCCTTGCTGTTCT